AAGATCTTCAGAGCCTTGAACGCCAACGCATAGCATAACCATAAAATACGCATTACGAAACAGAAAACATAGCATTAAGTTACCTTTTTCTTTGGGGGTGACGACATCTTAGAAGAAACTGAGTGAAGAATGCTTGAAATTCCTCCGGAGTGAATGCTTGAAAGTTCGAAAGTTTACTGTAACTTGAAAATCGAAACGTCGACTGCGCCATTCGACCTTTACAAGGGTTTAAATGCTGATGCCACGTCGACATTTCATTAGGCGCGCCACGTCGGCAACTAGGAGTCCGAACTGAAAAAAAAATAGGTTAATTTTTAAAAAGGCGACGCCTTACATATATGAGGCGAGGCACGCCTTATGGCGCACCTCAGTAAACTTGAGGCGTAAGCCTCATAAACTAAACTTATTGCGTAGGCTTTGAGGCTTAAATGCTGAGGCGCGCGCTGAGGCGCGCCTTTTATTGCGCAATTTTAAACGTTGGTGTAGGTCAAAGCCATTCATTTATTGAGATGATTGATGGAGAAGTTTAGAGAGAATAAGGAGGATCTACATATGATATTTATTGATTTAGAGAAAGCATATGATAAAGTTCCAAAAGAAGTGATATGGAGAGTTCTAGAAGAGAAAGGGGTTAATAATGCTTATATTCAAGTCATTAGGGATATGTACGTAGGAGTTATTACTTGTGTTCAAACACAAGGTGGTTTGACCAAGTATTTTCCTATTTCAGTTGAATTACATCAAGGATTAGCCTTAAGCCCTTATCTTTTTGCTTTAATCATGGATGTTCTTATTCTTACAAGACATTTTTAAAAGGTTTTATCATGATGTATGTTTTTTGCTGATGATATTGTTTTTGTTGATAAGACTAGAGAGGGAATTAAAGGTAAACTTGAATTATGAAGGTCAACCTTAGAGTCTAAAGGTTTTCGCTTGAGTAGATCTAAAATTGAATACATAGAGAGTAATTTTAGTAGTAATAGAACTAGTGGGGGTTTATGACTTTGAGCGATCAAGTCATTAATCAATGTACTCGTTTTAGATATCCTGGGTCTATTTTCAGAGTGATGGTGAAATAGATAGGGTATTATTAGTAGAATTTCATTTGGATGGTTGAAGTGGATGAATGCTTCCGATTTGTCGTGTGATAGAAAAGTATCACTCAAACTTAAGGAAAAATTTTATAAAATGGTGGTGAGACCTGTAATGCTTTATGACACAAAATGTTGGCCATTAAAAGAGAAGCATAATATTAATTTAAGTGTTGCTGAGATGAGGATGCTCAGGTGGATGAGAAGATTTACTCTTAGAGACAAGATACGAAACGAGCATATCCGTGAAAAGGTTGGAGTAGCTCCAGTGACAGATAAGATTAGAGATAGTCGTCTTAGATGGTATAGTCATGTAAAACAACGGCCTTTCGATGACCGTGTTAGGAGAGTAGATGTATTAGATTTAACCTATGATAAGAAACATAGAGGCAGACCTAAAAAAACTTGTTTAGAAAATATTAGAAATGACCTATCTTTATTAGATTTAAATGAAAATTTGACTCTTTTTTTTTTATATGAAAATTTGACTCTTAACAAAACACAATGGAGAAAAATGATTCATGTAGCCAACCCCATGTAGTGGGATAAAGGCTTGATGTTGTTGTTGTTGTAACATACCTTCCCAAACTAATGCTAAAGAATAACGACTTAAGTAACAAAAGACCAAGAAGGAGAGAGCACAATAGAATTCAACAAGGAATAAGAGCAATAAATTGGATACAATGCAGTCGAAATGAAAAATTAGAGGAAGCGAAGTTGACGATCCACCCTAAAATGTGTCATAGCCTACGTTGAAACTCAAAGGGAACCGATTAGGAAACAAAAGAAGCATGTCTCTTGTGATTATGGTCAAGGGAGAGAGTGAAGGATCTCAGTTGAAGGAAGAAGACAAGGGCAAGGGCTCGCTATTGGTGTTTGGAAGGAAGAAATTAGAGTGAAGTGCATATATGATAAACTAGACCATACCTTTCCCATTAACCGGGACCTCTTACTACTAGGGAGATGACATTTCATGCAAAGAAGGTTGATTACAGGTCATCAATCATGTGGGGGTAGGGCAGTGGCAGTTGGGTGGGTCGAGCATATCATGTGGTATAGTGAAGAGGACTGGCAAAGTTAGGTAGACTAAGCTGAGGCTATTCTCCTTTGCCTAGTTCGCTACACTATCAATGAAAAGAAAAAGGTGCTTTGCCATGATTAATATACTCAAAGCAATTCAAGACATCAAGTAGTTAACCATACTGATGCATGATATACTTCAAGGGGAAAAACATTAGCCATCTGCACAGTAACCATCTCAATGAACTAGTTGTTCCAAGAGCACAACACCAACCAAAAAGAGAACCCAAGAACAATCTATTAGTGAGCATTGAAAAATAGATAACTATGACTTATGTACAATTATCATATCACTTAGCAGAGGTTAGTTCCAGGTGAAGTTTTAGAGCTCAACAAAACTGCAAAAGCCAAAATAAATAATGCCTTATAAAAAACAAATACTGAAAACACCTTCTGCTTCGGCAATATCAGCTACAAGTTGAAAGAACTCCAGCCCTTTAGTAAAGCTCTTCACTCTCCATGACCTCTGCAGCTTCATAATACCGTCATCATTTAGCAATTTCCAGTCATGCACCTTGATGAATACAAGATTCAGAAACATGCATGCTAAATCTCAAAGGAGTGAACATATCAACATGGTATGATGATACCTGTTTAAGCAGTTCATTAGCATTTTGCTCTGCCATTAATTGAATATGTTTTGAGTTGCAAGGTACACATTTCTTCGTTGTCAAATCTGAGTTGTGTCATCAGAGAAAAATGTCAAAAATTGATAATCTTCTAATATATCAGGAATCATAAAATCCAGTAAGAAAATAAATCAGCTGTGCAATAATGAATGTCATTTATATTGGAACTCACAGAATATTTTGAAAAACCAAAGAATAACATAACAGGACAGATAACAGATTTATATCTGACAATGTTCATTCAAATAACTATAAAAAAATCTCAATTGCTCATGCATCGCAAACAAGTATATATCTTTTTTTTTCCAGGCCATGACATACACCATGCTACCTAGTCTGGTTAGTTTGCTATAGAGCTTATAATTTATAAAAGTTAAAAGCATCATGGGACACACAAATTAAACTCAGAGTTCTATGACAAAAATCATTGCACAAACATACAATATTGTGCTTAGTATAGATAAGTATTGATACAAATACAATATTAGAAATTACAAAATAACGATCTATATTAAGAAAAAAATAAATAATAGCGAATGATTTTTTTTTTATCTTAAAGTTCACAGAGATATCTTTCTCGAGCATGGAAAGGATTTTTTTTTCAATCCTTTTAACAGCCTACTTAGGTAGCTCTCAGTTTCACCATCAAAGTACCAACTGCTTATTTCCAAAATTAAATTTGAAGTAGTTTAAATAAATAAAAAATAAAAAAAATAAAATAAAACTCAGCGAAATTCAACCAGACAAGCAAATAAATATGAAAGGTTGACGTTTAAACTTCCAGTTCCGTCCCAGGAAGAGCACTATTCAAGAAATTAAATCTAAGATGGAGTTCCGGGATGTGGATTGGATAATCAGATATGATCAGCACGCACCTTGAGATGCGGAACAAGCACTAAAACTTCTAATAGCTGTCGCTTGAAGAACATGGCGAGATGGAATCTTAGATATCCAATACAATGAGCTGTATGAATACAGTATGACAATTTCTTAACAAAACAAAGTTCTGTCCCATTTTGTATATTAATCACTGTATCCCATTGAAAAACAAACAATTTGTTCAGGAATAAAAGAAAGCAATTCATCGTAACAAGTGAAGAAGAAGATAATCGCATACCGTCCATTTCTGTTGGAGAGAGAGTCAGATGAAGAAACTAATCTCAGCAGACGCACCTACGAAGAGAAAGAGAGTAGGGCTATGACGATTCTTGGGGAAATGCGATGTCGTAAGAAATCTGACTTACTGTTTTGGCGATGTTGAGGAAGCGCGATTGTGCATAAAATCGGATCATCTCGGCACCCAGCCTATGGTGAAGCTGCTTCGAGGGTTTCCATTGGTAATATCCAGAACTATAAATAAACTCACCAAATGGCTCTATATTGAGAATATTTGGATATTAACTATAAACGTGAATTAAATAAATTATACTTTACTTATTGGATTAGTTGTAAAAATAAGTCATAAAATTATTTTTTGCAATTATTTTGTTGTAATAATAGGTGTTGAATCACGTTTTATTTGGTGGATGATGTTCGATTGTACTTTATGTTACATATAGGCTAAGAACTTTCTCCCTCCTTTTATAGGGTTTGGAAAAATGTAGGAGTTATGTCTTGTACATAGCTATCCTATTGTCCTATAGTAATAACTCGTTAATGTCGAACAAACCGATGAATAAAGAAGGCGAGCTAGATAAGTTCATATGATAATTAGTAGTTGCCCTATTGATGAAAGAGGGTGAGTGCCATCCTACTTTTGTCGATGAGAGATGGCGAAGCGATCTGGGTCATCCAGAGAAGGGTGAGAAGCATTAGAGTGTGGCCTTTGGTCATATGTGAGTGGGAAATCTTTGAGAGGGAAGATGTATGTATCTCCTTGATGTATCGAGCATGAAAGTCTTGGCTAAGGCTTAGATGGATAAAGATTTTTCTAGCTAAGAGTGGAACTTTTGAGGTTGTCTTTCCTTGCTAGCAGATGATTGCCTAAAAGATGTGACTAATCTAGTCTGACGTGCTCCAGTGTTAAGCTCCTTCCATCTTTTGAGCGAGTCCCTCAAACAAGCTGTTTGAAGAGTAGAGTGCATTTTCATATCGCTCAACCCAAACAAAGCTTGCAAGACATGAAAATAAGTATTTGCACAGGTATTCATGGGTGTACATTTAGTTCTCCGATTTATACAAAATTTTGAACATTGTATATTAAAAATGTCAGATAAATCAAAAATAAAAAAAGAGAGCATGAGTAAATGTAAATTTACTACCCTCAATCTTTTATGAATCTCATGATACATGCTTCCGCAAAGATTGATCGGCCTCATGGTTTGGTTTCTCTATAAATATCGGATTTGAGTTGGATATAAACATGACATTTCTTTCCAAGTGTAAGCCTTGGTTAGTTTCAGTGCAATGGATCCTTCCATATATTGGGCTACCGAAAGAGCTACCTATAAGAAAGCACTGATCTGCTTAGGAATCGATGTAGCAAATCTGAAGGAGGTCGTGCTGAGTGGGCCCCTTCTATGGAGAAGAAGGATGTGTGTTTGTGGACTAAGCTAACCTGATAGCTGGTTTTCTATTAAAGAGAAGCTGAGTTGATGATAGGGAGCATGTTATCACTAAAGATGACAAATTGTCTAGTTGTGTTATATGGATGGAGGAGGAGACAACTCCTATTATCCTCGTGAAGAGAGGAATGACCAAAGATTTGATGGCCTGAGGGGACAAAGGGAATCACCCTTTTCTTCCTTGGATCACCTAAGGAAGTGTGAGTGAAGTTACTTGGCAGGAAGCAAGTATGCTTGAGCAAGAGATAGTCCCTAAAAGGACCATTATTACTACTAAGAGGGTTATTGAAGAGGCAACTAAGGAGCAGGCTGATGATAAGATGCTTGAGCAATGGTTGGCCTCTTTCTCATATATTATGTTTACTGATCCCACCTTTCCCCTTAAGAAAATTTTGATGGACAAAGTTATCGGGAGGCTAATGACTGGAGTTGGCGGGCAAGAATGAGGGTGTAAATATGCATGACACTATTGAAGAGATGACCTCTATGAGAGAAGGGGTTGCGACCCTACAGATTTGCATGAACTTGATGGGGGCTGAATTACAAGTATTGGTTAGTTAAACTAACTGCGAAGGTTTTTTATAGAGTGCTTTATACATCGTGGAGTATCTTAATTAGATACGGGACTAAAGCTGAGAATGGAGAATGATCCCATACTAGAGCATGCCCAGTGTGGCCACCGTATAGGCCATTTTTCTTTTTCTTTTTCTTTTTATTGTTGTATTTGTCTATGAGCTCGGATGTGTCAGTTCTTTAATAAAATAAAAAAAATGTTCTATAAGAAAGAATGGAAATGTTGTCATGTCACAAATTCTGAGGATAGATACATATATCACTGGGAATGGGTGCATTGTGGCTGTTTGGATCCAATAATAATGCGAGGGAAGGGTTAGATCTTCCTATATTAATATTGATTTGAAGTATCCTAGAGTCTTTAGATTGAGTTATCATCGATAAATAGAAGTAGTAGGGAATGATAGGTAGATCTCTTGCTTTGTCTCTCCCCTTTCTATTGATCTTTTGATCTTTGAGTATCAAAATGCCTGGTTTGTGTAAGTGTGTGAACAAGTTTCTTGCTGAGAAGAATTTAGCCAAGACTAGCTTGACTGAAGATTATGTCATTTATGTGTTCAAGGCATTTTGCTTCTCCTATACTTATTTCATCATTAGAGTTGAAAATAATGATGATTAAACAATTTATGTGTTGGATGTGGAGATGATCATTCATGTCAATCATTTAAAGTTGGGATGAGGTTCCTTTAATGAGTAGAAATTTAAGAAGATCAAAATTTTTATGGAAGGTTCATGCATAGTTATTACCAAACTCGATGGTTAAAATGATTTATTCTTCTTTTATGTTGCAGGAGCGGTGCTTTCCATGGTCACTAAATGTGTACAAAAATGTTTTCATGGCAAAAGCCTACCAAGATTTTTTCATCTAGTTCTCATCTATGGAGGGCAGGATGTGTGTCCTAGTGAATAAGGTGTGAGATTGGAAGGCAAAGTTTGTTGTGGTTTAGTGTTCTTAGAGTGTCGACTACTCCTGACTCGTTGTTAAAGAAGAAATCAGTTCTTTCAAAGTTAAATGCTGAGGAGAAGGTGGTGTTGGCGGAGGTGAACAGACAGGCACTAGTAGGTCCTTACCACATGGCCTATTTAAAAAATTTATGGTTCCTGATTTACCTGTCTTGATGTATCGATGCTTCAATTTCATCTTGATTTCTTTCTACTTTCTTTGTATAGAATTTTGCAAGTTGTATATTCCCAATGAGTATAATGATATTATCGGGTGCAATAGAAGTGGCTATAAAGCTAAGAGTAAATCTAGTTCTAGTTGTAGAGGAGACTTATCAAGAAGTTGATACGAAGAGGTGGATGAAAAATGAAGCTAGTATGAGCACCATGATGTCGAAGGTTAAGAGACCACAAAAGCTGATCCAACCCCATCTTCAAAGGGTAAGGAGATTACAGAACCCTTTAGAGAGGAGGTGTTAGTCTTTCACCCATCCATGAGGGTGGATGAAATTGCTATCACGTCACTAGGGAAGTAGCCAATTTAGAACATTGAGACATATGAATGTCCTATAAGTTATTTCCTATTTTACGATTAAGAGGTCCTGCCATCTAGCGAGATGGAAGAATCTGTTGATAAAATCCAGAGTGGTGACATCGAATTGAGCTAATTGTTTTTATAAAGGACACATCATCCACAATCCTTCGTTATAACAATATATCTCAAAGTTGTATCACACATCTTGGCTTGTTCCTCTATGAACTCACTAGTGGATACATTGAAGAAAGTGTATAATCTAAGCCATCTCTTTTTGGGATTGTACTATAAGTTAGTGCGACTAGATGTAATGAAATGACATGTCCAGTTCACCTTTTTGAGGTAAGGAAAATCCACCATGGGACCATGAATACATTGAATTGACTTGAGCGTGTGATGACTCAGATGTTGGAACAACACAATTTTGTGTTCAAGCTAGCAAGTGGAAAGGTTATATTACCCGTGGAGGCCAAATATCGTGCAGAGGTGACTTTGTTGATTATGCTGAGGTTGTTAAGTCCAAGGAATTGACTATGATAACAATTGGTGATTTGTATAAAAAACTAAATGAAGAACCTCACAGGATTAGTGGCGAAGATCTTGAGAATTTGCTGGGTGATAGTTACCTTGTTGGAGCACTGATTGTATTGAGAAATTAGTGTCCAAAGGAGAGTTCAGTTTGAGGTTTAGTGATCTTTCCTACTTCTTTAGAGAATTTATTGAAATTGAAGGGGATGAAGAAAGAGATGGTATGAGTATGACTAAAAAGTAGGTCACATTGGCTTTTTGTAATAACATTTTTTGTATAATTAAAAGGAATAAGAAGAAATTCTATCTTTGGTATATGTATGTATTGATTTTATTTTCTTTTCTTTTCATTTTTTTCTTTTGCATCCTTATGCGCAAATGTTGGTTATTTGTTGCACGCTTACTACATACCTTTGATCCTTTGGAGGCTTCAGCCATTCCGTTTGTGAATGAGACCATTGTTGTTCATGCGAAGTCACCGGTAAGGGGATTATACTTGGCACTAGGTTTTATTTATTTATAGAAAGTGAGCCTTAGGTCTTGCTAATTGGTGGAATTCATTCTTCTTTTTCTAAGAAGCTTTCCATTTAAAAGTAGCAGGAATCACCCGCCAAGGGTTTCAGGTGCCATCGCTTGAGGTGCTAAGCTTCACCTATGTTGACCTCGATTTTGCCCAGATTCTTAGTCAAATGGTTGACTTGGTCAAATTGACCAAATCAGACCCCAAGACCCCCTCCCACGGGTTCAGTGAGTCGATTTGAGTATGTTGAGCTCAGACCCGGGTCATGGGTCAACCTGGTTGACAAAGTCAACCTAGGTTGACCTATTTGGTCCTTTTGAGTCCTAATTCCAATTCTAATCATTCCAAATCCTTTCATGGCTTGATCCCTTATGCTCGTTAACCTAATTGACTTGGTTGACTGAGTCAAACCTTGACTTGGTCAAACCAAGTCATAACTTGGTGAAAATGACATGTTTAAGGCCCATTAACACCCCATTAATTGCATTAAAGCCTCCCAAACGTTTTGAATTCAAAACCACGGCCTAAATAGCTCTAATTTCCCTCCTAATTGCCGATGGATTCAATCCCAACCGTTCATGATAGGGTAGAGCCTTTAAATAGCCAAAATTAGGTTTAGGAAAGGACTTTTGACTCTTGCTCTCAGCCCAAGCCTCCTCAACCCCTAAGAGTTTGTGTGAGAGCTCCTGGACCTTCTCTCGACCTTTCCCGACCAGCCCCCGGCCTCCCCAACC